GAAACAACCTCTGAAGGCATCAAACACTTTCTCTTCTATCAGCCCTTATCAACAGGTCTAACATGAAGCACGCAGGAGAATCAGAAAGAATCTGACTGCTTGTATCAGACTACAATAAATATTGACCAGAGGTGTCAAAAGTGTTCACATTCATTACTTAAGTAGAAGTATATACTATGGTTTAAAAATACTTTTTTGGAAGTAGTAATAAAAAAAGTTATACTGGGAAGTGGGAATTTGCAARTTGTAAATTTAAACTGGATCGCCCCTCCAGAAGGAACTCACTGTCAGAATGTGTGAGAGTTTATAATTCAAGATGGCGGCTACWCACCACAACTCATCAGTGACTAAAACTCTTACTTTTAATAGTATTTCTGTAGTATTCATTTCACAGTCGGTCAAATGCAGTACTTTTCAGTGTTTAAAAGAGGACTCTGCTTCTATACAGGAAATACCAGGTAGAGCTCAGTTATTTTTTTGTTAGTTGTGCTCAGGGCCACCATGATGCCCATGTGGTCATAAAGAAACTTTTTTTATTGAATGAACTTTGACCTTTTTTTATTTGTGTTGCAAAATCCACCTGAGCCACACCTAGTTCTGCCTGCCCCCCCACCGGAGTTTTTTTTTCTTTTTCACTTTCAGCTGCTCTCATCAGCAGTCACCACAGTGAGCTAACTCGCATTTTTGATCATTATTTTTACATCTGATGCTTTAATCAATTAGTTACAGTTCACATGTGGAGCAGGGGGCTGCCATCATTGGCACCTGGGGGGTTGAAGGTCTGAATCAGGGGCTCAGAGTGGAGCAGCTGAAAGTGCTTCACCTTTCCCACCCACATTTATGATGCAACAGTCGGGGGATTAGAACCAGCAACTTACTGTTGACAGACTTCTCTAACCTCTGCACCACCACTCACCCAGATTGTGTTTAATAATCTGTCAGAATATATTCCAGATGAAGTCAGTTTAACAGTATTTAGTATTTACAGTATTTAATCTCTTCAGTTGGATCTGATCTTCATCTAATCTGCAGTTTTTGCGTCGTTCTTCATGACCTCATCATTCTGCTCCTTTCTGTCCAGTTCTTCCTGTTTTCAGTCAAATCTAGAGTTTCACTCAGCTGTTTCAGGAAACACAAGTTTTGTCCTCAGAGAGGTTTTCTNTTGGCAAATGGTTGAATTATACAAACCATAGCTGTGGCTTGGCATTGTTCTGTCATGTGTGCTGTGCCTCTGTCTTCTGTATGCCCATAATACAATAACTTGCTGAATTTTATTCAGTTGCAAAACAATTYGGATTGTTGATAGGCTCCCTTCATAYAGGGAAAGCTGTTTGTGCCATGGTTATCAGCAGGGAAAGGTGCACAGACAGTGACTGSTCTAAAGATTGATACTGGATAAGTTTGATAAGTTACCTTGAAAATGCTTGAAAAGTTCTTGTATTTTACTGTGAGAAAAGTGAATGAACACCGAAAAGAGCTGATTGTCAGATTATCAGATTTCCCTTCAGGGTGAATAAGACACACAGCCTCACACCAGAAAACTTAATGAACATCATCATTTACCCAAAATGCTTTGCAGCAATAATAAAATGGCTCAGTCTGTGTGGCAATATGAATATATTTTTTTAATTATAGGAACTGAACAGCCTACAGTATTTTTACAGCTGAAGTCAATCCACCTAAGGCTAAACAACTTGATAAAGAAGGCTGGTTCTGTTCTGGGGACGACTGTGGAACCTCTGGAGATGATGGTGCAAAGAAGGATTTTACATCAAATCAAGAACATTGTGGACAACCCTGACCATCCTCTTCATCAGACTGTCATAGAAAAATAGTCTTCAGTCAGAGGCTTCTTCAACTTCGCTGTAATACAGACCGCTGCAGAAGACGTTTCCTGCCCACAGCCATCAGCATCTACAATAATTCTTTAGTTAAATGAGTCACAACAGTATCTATTTTCCCTCTGGGATCAATAAAGTATTTTTGAATTGAATTGAATTGAACTGAATGTTTGTCTTATAATGTCTAATGTTACAAGTACTTTTAGATGCTTTAAAAGTTGCAGCACTAATCTGCAGGTGTTCAGCCAGTAGGCCCGTGTACACAATGTACCAGTGTTTTTATTTAAAGAGAAACAATTGTGTAAGTTTATTGGTTGATGTAATGCATTTATGTTCTGAAGTGTTTTAGACCTTATGTAAGGAAGTCTTCACACTATAAATACTACAAGGATGGAATACTAGTCAGACATTGCTAGATGCTGTTTGAAGTCATCATAAAGTCGTCTCCAGATTTTCAAATCTACTCGATGGGTTTTTACATGTAATCTTAATTAATTTTCTGTTAATTCTTTAAAGTCGATCTCCTGTTGAAGGAGAGATGGCAGTGTGCACTGGGATTGGAAGACGCCTGGGAATTCAGGACACCCTAATCTTATTTGAAAATGTTTGATTTAAGGTTATAAGGTTCAAAGAGKGTCTTTTAGATAGAAGTAAACATTTTTGGTTAGAGGTCCATGTAAGGAAAAGGCTTTTTGAAATTGTTCTATGTGTGTTACAATTACTTTGTGGGTTGTGTGAATATTTTGTGTTTTTATTTGGGTAACCAGCCCCACAGAAACGCTGCTAAATTGTGATTGTTGCATTTTTGTGTTAATAAAGATGGTCATAGTTTCAAGGGTAACCAACCCCAGGGATGCACTGTTGACTGTGGCATTGTATAATTGACAGTTTCACTTATACAGTATATGCTCCAACGTGGATTTGTACAAATTTTGCGGTATGAAAGAAGAGACTGGTCTGTGTGTTTGTTAATAAGGGGAATATTGACTCTAAGGAAATAAAATCGATCAGTGGATTGGTGTAAAAATCCTCAACAACCACACAGAGTTTTAATAAAAAAATCTAGAAGCTTCCTGATTGGATTTACTAATCATGGCTGACAGTACTGTCATTCCAAAGAGTCTCGTTTCTTCATATGAATGAATAACATAAGGGAGGTGAATAATCTCAGGAGTTCAATCACTCTTGGGAGTTTTTGCTTCTCAGTATGTTTGAAAGACCAGTGGGTGTGAAAGGGATACAAATTAAACTGTTAAGGGCCATGAAAGTGTGTGTGCTTGAGTGTGACGATGGATAGTGAATTTGATAGCGAGGTAAATGATGATGGGTGAGTCCTACAGCAGAGTGAGTCTGGAAAACCTTAGGCAAGCAGAAAGAACATGTTCTAGCTGCCATAGGACAAAGTAGGACTCTTAAAGACAAAGAGAAATCCAGATAGAAAGCCTCAGATCAAATAGATGAGCTTTTAAAAGTAAAAGAAATTCGGCTAACAGACAGGCAACCTCTAGCTAAGTTACTCTGGGAAAAAAATGACAGCGTACTGCAGAAATAGATGAGGCTAAACAAAAAGGGACAGAGGGTAATTTCCTTACTAGGGCCAAGTGGAAGAGGGCTCAGGAAAAGGTAGAGTCAGAGCGTCAAGCATGGGGTACATTAACTTTATTTTGTCAAGGGACAGACCATCTCAATAGGGACAGCTCAGAAAGAAAAGACAGGTGCCCCACYTCCTTATACTAAACTTGTGTTGGCTACAGCACCCCACCTCCTAGCTTAGGGACTAACATCAAACCAGGCCCAAATCTAAGGTTTGGGAAAGCTCTCATCTCCCTRTCAAGGAAAACTCWAAGTACAYTGGTTGGAGTCCTAACTGGGYACAATCTGYTCAACCGCCACAAAATGGTGATGGGACTCCATGACAATGGTCTGTGTGATGCCTGTGGCTTGAATTAGAGWCCTCTTTGCACTACTTAGGCCACTGCCTGGATCTGAGTGGTCAAAGGAAAAGAATTCTTGGGGACCCCTTTATGGATCCTGAGAAGCTCAGAACACTGAGTGTTTCTAACCTTGTGTCCTTCATCCGAGGGACGAGAAGGTTTGAATGAAGACCAGTGTCTTTTTGGGGAGAGCAATGGGCCCACTTAGGAGGTCCCTGCTCATATGGATTCTTTATCCATCCCCACTCACCATAACACTAAACCAGTTAGGGCTCTTTACCCTACAATATCTAATGGAACAATTCTCATGACAGAAACCCCAACAGGACAGGAAGCTGAGGTAGGATCAGGCCAGATGGGACAGGCAGGAACCAGTAAAATAGTCACCATCTTCAGGAATGGGGACCAGTCTAAGRCAAAGCAAGTCACCAGTAATTCTTTTTGAGTCAGACGATAAGAGCAGCCAGGGGAAAGGGAACTGCAGCTGTAGGGAGTCAGAAAAAGTCAAAGSGTGAGGCAGGTGCTGCAGATAGAGGGTAAGAGAACAGAAGTAGTGGCTGTTATAAAAGGCAGGTGGATGACAGCTGAGGAAGAGGAGAGATTTAATCAGGAAGTGCAGGAGTTTCAGAAAAAAACAGAAAACTTATAGTCCTTTGTTTAATAAAGATAGATCAGAAGATGAGGGTGAGTGCAGCCAGAGGTTGAGTTTGTCCAGGCAGTGTAAAATAACCTCAGCGGCAGCTGCAGCTCAGGAACAAGGAAAGAGATTAGAATTCAGAGAAGACACGTTGGAGGAGGAAGAAACGGCAGAAGCAGAAAACTCTAATATGGATTTAGATGAAGAGAGCCCACCTGTTAGTTCAGATAGATAACAATGAGCCTCAGGGAATAGTGCTGAAGTTTGAACAGTGATAAAACATGAAGTTTGTTGACGATCAGGTGTTTTATAAAAAGTTGAAATGACTTCAGGTCAGACAGGAGTTTGAGCTGCAGGTCACAGGACCACCTCCCACCTGCTGCTCCTCTCTGYTTCTAACCTCTCCCTGTGCCTACCAGGTTTTATTCAGGTCCACTTGTTTCCTCCAGCACACCAGAGTTCAGCATGTTAGGTGTTATTCAGTCTAAATGATCACCAGGTGTAAGGTAAAGTGTCAATGGTTGTTTCTATGTAAGATGTTCAGAGTTTATCAGGCTTCTCTCACAATAACTGATGGAGATTAACCCCAGCTCCTCATCATCCTGCACARAAACAGAGCAGAGAAAATGTCCAAAATGTCCATGTTTTTGGACATTAGAACAGTTTTACATGTCTGTACCTGTAGCAGTCAAGAGCAGCTGTAATAATGTTATAATTGACAGAAACAAAACCCATTTAATGATGCTGTGGTTATAGATTCCTCTGAAGAGCCTCTGTCAGTGTCTGTAAGGAGTTTATTTCACAATCATCTAAAGCAGAACTGATGATTTGACACTCCYTCTTCAGAAGGAAGTGAGATGTTCACTGTGAGATGAACTAACACTTTAGTATTTTGCTTATGAAATTCACAGAAAACTTATGAAAAAACATCCATCATCTATAACCGTTTCTTCTTTTCAGGGTCACTGGTGCCCATATACAGCAGTCACAGTGTGAGGGGCGGGGTACACTGTGGACAGGTCGCAAGTCCATCACAGGGACACATAGACAAACCAACATTCACTCACACCTAGGGACAATAAAGAGTTACCAATTAGCCTAACACACATGTTTTTGGTCTGTGGGAGGAAGCCGGAGCACCTGGAGAGAACATGAGAACAACATCTACCCTCTCATGTTGAGAGGCATCAGCTCTACCAACTGAGCCACCGTGCTGCCCCTCATGAAACAGAAAAATTGTGAAATTTCTAAATGCATAATTAGCATTGTGTCATTTAACAGCACCGAGTGTTCAGATCCTGTTGAACAATATGTGTAAAAMCTATTTGAGCACAATTTATGAAGAGTTTATCCATTAAAAATGCAAAGTGCTGCAGAGTTAGTCAATAAAACACACCAGCAGACACAATGTTGAATAAAACCCTAAAAGAGAAATGAAAACAGACATCTAATGATGTTTGGATTAAAGTTTAGAAGCACTGAGTACTAAGTACCTGTACCAAGCACTGAGCTAGACTGTAACCAGCTGCTTTAAATGAAAAAAGATGGATTTAATCACTAATCTTCTTCCATTTTCAAATTTAATATAATTTTTCACTTTGACTCCTCTGTTTGTGATTATTGTCTAAAGAGCCAAAGATAGGTCCACAAGTGTCAGAAACAAAAACAGGAAAAATAGTGATGCTGGAAGAGACTTTTTACACCTTTCATGTGGAAAAAAAAGCAATAAATTTATTTTTGTTTATTTAATTTATTTATGTGCAGTCATCAAACACTAGTGAGAAATCTTCCAAGTCCAGGGGTCCGCTGCACAAAACTAGGATTAAAGATTAAGTTGAGATCTTTGTGTTATCCTGCATAATTTAATCCTTGATTCCTCCAATGCAACCTATTAATCTTGTTTACAAGTTCAAGTCTTGTTCCAGCAGATGTCCTCGATTTATAAATCCTATGTTCATGCCTCTGAGCAGAGAGTCAATAAAAATATAAACATCCACGTCGGACAACTGAGCAACAAACAAAGTTTTGGAACAAACTCATAATTTTCAGCTACTGGATCTGCAGCGTCTGAGGGGCTGGAGGGTCTTTTTGAAAAAAAAAAAAGATAAAATTTAGTATTTTAAAGCAGTTATGTAAATTTCCCCCCAGGAACACACATGGCTCTTGAGAAACTGCAGAACACTTTCATGTAAAACAGCTTGTTGCTCTGCATGTTCTGCCAGTAACCACTCTTATCTTCAKGTTGCTCTAGTATTCAGCCCACATTTCATTCTAACCATCAGCTCTAAATGAGAACCACAGAGTGAGTCTGGAGTCCAAAGATTCTCACACTCCTGCATGGACAAAGTGTCAGCATATTGTAAGGTGGAACACAAAATGCAGGCAGACTCAATGACTTGAATGAAAAGACAAAAACTAGTTTTTTAAATAACAAAAGACAAAAATATCACAACAAGAAATGAGAACAAAGCTTGGTACATGGAAAGGGCAAAGATCCAACAGGGCAATGAAGACACATGTTAAAAACAACTGAGGATGATTGGAGAGTGGAAGCACCTGGGTGATTACAGATTATGAACAGGTGAGTGTGGCAGGCTGGAAACACACTAAGAAGCTGGCTGAGGATAACATGGCACAGGAAACAGAAAACAGGAAATTAGAAAATAAGACAAGGAAAAACAGTCTGAAAAAATATTAACAAAAAGAACCATTAAACATGAATCATGACACAAACAAGACAAATCAAAGCTTATTTCTGCTGCATTTTATTGAGAAAAAAGTGAGAATGAGTTCAAAAGCGATGATAAATGTTTCTATAACAAATAAGACCTGTAATGTTTTCAGAGTTTACCTCATTCCTCTCACATCTACTGCTGGAGACAGCAGCTCCATGTGACCCTGCACAGAGAGCAGATGAAGAAAATTTCCACAATGATGCACGAATATGTTATTATTGATTTCTTCAAAGAGCATCTTTCAGTGTCTATATAAGGTGTTTGTATCACAAGCATCTAAAGCAGAACCAAGAGTTGCTCAAAAACAAGTTTTAATGCTGACAGAGAGATAAATCAAACAGCTGATTCATTTACAGAAGTAMAAGTTTTAATTTGTGTCAAACAGYTGCCTGTGAAGCAGGTTTTTTTGTTCTTCCTCTWTTTTTTTTTTGTCTTTTGACACAAAAGTTGAGAAATGAGATTCTGTTTTTTATTGGTTGGTTGTTGTGAGTCAGAATGACTGGTGTTTTTGGCCAAACTGTATAAAAAGAAGCATCAGATCCAATCCTCTACTGAAGACCTTCAGCTTCAGCTCACATCCATCTCTGRCAGAGAAAAGACTCATCAGCAAAGGTGAGGAAATAATAATTAACAAATACTGAGTTTTATCAAACAGCAGAATCTGTTTGATCTGTTTTACATTTAGCTGACCCACAGAAGTTTTATCTTGTTAAATGCTGAAAATAATGTTACATATGTTCTGTTCTCTCTGTGCACACGTGGGTTTTCTTCAGTTTTCTTCTGCAGATTTTCTTTAATAAAAAATTTCCTTCCTGGACTACAGGGAGCAGGTGTCTCCTTCAGTCTCTGTGTGAGAGGAGGGGACACCCTGGACAGACTGTCAGTCCATCACAGGGACACACAGAGACAAAAAACAAAACAAAACTGACTAAAAATCTGCTGCTTCTAACAAGAATATTTTATTCAGTAAAACATTTACTGTTCATGAATTTGGAAGCTGAAAACTACAGTTTATTTTTATTTCTGTCACTTTAGACAAGATGAAGATTGTTCTGCTGATCACCATCATCTGCAGTTCTGCCTTCACTCTGCACCCGGAAAAACTATGTCCTGTCACCCAGACGGGCAACACTAGATTCAACCAGTTTAATAAGAATCACATCATTAAGACCAACTTTAAAACAAACTCAGTTCAAGAATGGAATTTGTGAGTTTCAGAGTTTATTCATCTCATTCATTAGGATATTTTATTATAATTATCTGTACTTTCTCTTTATTCTGCATCAAATAATGTTTTTGACTGAAATATTTCACGGATGTCAAACATGTAGCACATTTTATACATGTAATACATAGATTTTATTAAACCAATAAACTTTTTTAACACTTATAATAACAGTTTAACTTGGACTAATCACAGCTCCTCTGATCTAAATGCAAAAAACAGTTTTAATCTGTTTCTTTTGTTGAATTTGTTGAACTTTTATTGAAATAATTTGACATTGTGAATAAAACTGAGCTTTGATCTATTCTTTCAGACGCCTGAAAGATTTGGGACGCGAACACACATATTTTCAGACCTTCATAAAGAAGGCGAATCGACCTGCTGTTGTGAAGATCTGCAACGGTGATGGTGTACACCAGGATGGCGACTTGTTTACCAGTATTTCACCAATATCGGTGTATAATGTAAGAGTTACCAGAGGCTCAGTTACTGAAGCCCCAAAAGCAACACAACAATATGTGACTGTGTCTTGTGAGACTGTTAGAAAACACTTCTGTCCTGTTCATATTCAAAGAACCCAAAGTAATCCACCACTCAGAAATGGGGTCCCCCAGTCCCAATCTTCAGACGAGTGACTTCCACTCTCAGTTTTTTTTTCTTACTGGGCTCAGTAATATTGAGTAAAAMTATTGCAGTAAATTTGAATGTGCCAAACATCAAACAAAAAAGAAAATTTCTTTAAAATTACATCGCTATTAAAAAGACAGTTTGATGGAGACTTTTTAAAACCCGAATAATGTTTTTGCTGCAAGCCGTGCAAAATAAATAAAAGCAACATTTTTATTTGAACACTTTTTGTTCCTAAGAACAGTTTGTGCTACATTTCTTGCATTTTTTTTTGCTTTGTGCTCTGATAAATAAATTTTGTTATCAAATAAATGCTTGARTCATGAATGAATCCTGAGTTGTTTAGTTTTCTTTAATCACTAATGAAGATGATCACAGGAAATGTTGCATTCTGATATTTTGCAGTCACAGAGGGGCTGGACTCAGAATGCAGGCAGGAGGAACTCAGTAAATAAAATGTTTTTAAACAGAAAACCAAAAGCCAGCATAGCAAAAGAACTTAGACCAYRGCAGAACTCCAGGGAGGATGACTGACAGCTGAACAGAAACGATGAATGGACAAAAAGAAAGAAGAGAGCAGTTCAGTCCACTGAGGGATGATGACAGCACCTGTGCAGGAGGCTGATTACAGGTTAGAGACAGGTGAGGGACTGTAGTGAGATGTCACAGATGGCCTTCCGTAGTGCGCTGTATTTATGAGCATGCGCTGTACATCCAGGCACGTGAGTTGAATAAAGCTGAGTTCTAACAGCT